ATCTGCTTAACCCACTGCTTCAAGGCTTCATTTTGATATTCTTTCAGGGTCTTGTTGTGTGGGATACGCGAGGTTGAAGTTGAGGCAGGTTTTGAAAGGCGCGCATGCAGAGTACGATAAGGAACGTTGAATTCTCGCGCAATTTTCGCGATATTCGGTTTTTTTTTTTTCGCGTTGAGCGGCTAGTACAGCCTTAGACAATTGATCTTTAACTTCTTCGCTATATTTCGTCATGTTGTGTGGTAGCAAATTCAAGATTTTATAAATTGCTTCATTTCTTCAATTTTGTTAATAAATTCAATTTCGCTGTGGACCACCCACCGCCTGTCCGAAGGCTTTAGACGGGAGGCCACGGCTACTTTAAATTATTTTTAAGAGTAGAACGCTACTTTGAAGTCCTTAATATATTAAGAAAGTTATTAAATCTAATTTTATTCGTGCGTATTTAAAATAAGATATTTATTTCGGGAATAGTAAGGCCCTTATATTATATTAGGCTTAAATTTAAATGTAGAGTAAGAAATCTAAATAATTTCTTATATCTTTATCCGGTTGTCTGCCTAGTTACTTTATTTATTATTTTATTACTGAGTATTTTTAAATACGCGGAGATCTAATAAAATATTATATTTTCGATGCTTCTATATATGTAACATTTTTTAATAAGTAGTTCAATAATTTCCTAAATTGAATACTGCCTTAATCTTAGACTTAGAAAGACCGCTCGCCTCGCTGCACAAAATAATACTTAACCTTTTTATTCTCCAGATAAGCCGCTGCGCGACATTTAAATAGACTTTTATATTATGATTAGGTGCTGCATATAAGCCGTTTACAAACTTTTCCTATTAAATTATTCTCTGAATTGCCCTCCAAATCGATTTTTATATAGCCGGGGACCCCATTTAACAGTAAAAATAAATAAGGGAAGCGCTACAGACACACCCCCACGTGACCATGTGGCTTGGTCAGCCGCCGTTGCCGGCGCTGCGCAGCGCGCAGGTGGGGACGTCACCACTTTCATCTCACATTACATATATATTTCAATGTGGGATACAACCACTGTACTCGCTACTATGAAAGCAGAAAACGCGTTTTCTGATTTCCTAGAGTCTGAATTCAATAAAGATGCTCTACTTAATATAGAGTTTGACTTACAATTCAATTTTCTTATCATACCTGAAAAGCTAATCGAATATTATAAATTAAATATATTTTCTTTACTATTAACTGACTGCCGATTTGCCTCAGAGCAAAAAACTATAGATTTTATTAACGAATTCATTCGGCAGCATAGCTACACTTTAACTACAAAGAATTCAAAAAAGATAAGAATGGCGAACAGATCAAAATATAATATTTACAGTATAATTATAACAGAATATATAAAAGTAAGATTAACAAAACTGAAAGAAAAAGACAAAAAAGCTCTCGTCAAGACAATTATCTTTTTTGTATAACTATTAAACGTGTACAATCTGATTCTAATTTAAAATTATAATAATTCTGAAAGATTAAAATTACAAATAGTAATTATAATTATAAGCCATTTTTAGCTTATACCTATCCAATATTACAGAAAATTAATCTCAAAAGAAACATTAAATATATTGAGAATCAACTTGCAGTAAGTGTAAAACCTCGTTAAAATATTTAAAATATCTAACAGAATAATACTATACTATTACTTTCTTGGGACATTTACAACTTTCAGCAAAAACGTCATTATAAATTTCTTAATAGTTAGATTTATGTTTAGACTCTTCTTATAGGTCTATCGGGAGAGTAACTTTTTAATTATGTAACTAACAAAAATCATTATCTGATAGGCCTTTTTTGTATGTATAAAAGCAGTTTCGATATATTTCGTTTAAATTTATGTTTTGATTATAGATTGTACTTAAAAGACTAACAGATACAAGATGCCATTACTTAATATCAATAGGATTATAGGAACAGGGTATACATTCTTTGTTAGTTTTGTGTTTATTTATAATGAGTATCAAAGCTCATATAATTTTTCACTTAAAAATCCATCTAAAATCTACATTTAGCTTGGCTTACAATTACTACGTACAATCCTAACAGATAAGGAGAAAGCTCTTATAAATTTATGTAAAAATTTTTTCTTTACAGCTGACAATCTGATTATATCTCTAGTATATTAATAAAAATATTCTTATTAAAGTCCTGGCCTATTTCTGCAAGGACTTGATCAGTAATATAATCGAGTCTTTAAAATTTAAAGATCCTAAAGAAAAGACTGCATTCTATGCAGAAATGACTAAAAATGGAAAAGTATATTAATTAAGTACTAAACTGTTATCCGTTATATAAGCAAAATTGTACGTTCAAGCAATAGAATGCTAAAATCAGTTTAAATTAGAGTATAGTAAAGTTCTTTTTAAACTTTTACTTTTATATATTAAAAAAGAATAGCTGAATGAATATATTTAGTCTTGTATACTCGATTGCTATACTGACAAATTCTTTTATTTTAATATACATATAATTTTCTGTAACAAAAACGTTTACACGCAATTTAAGAGAGATTTTACAACTTCTAATGCTGAACTTTTTTACGTTATTCTATCATTTGAAAGAACGCTTGAGCATTAACATAACCGTTATATCAAAAAAAGAGATAATGAGTGAATTGCTAGTTCTATTTGTATACTCTACGTATTCCTATTTGATAATCTATTTAAAAGGATATTTTACTACCCTCTCAAAAAGGTATTTGGATATCTACAACTCTCATCTGATCATGAAACGCCTTATCCTGGAAGAATGTACTGGTATAACGCTACACGAGGAATCCCTTATATACATAGCATCCAGGAATGCATAAATCAGAAAATGACATTAAATATTACTCATTTTTATTAATAATGGTTTCTCTACACTCCTGCTGATATATCTTTTATAGAGCTTTAAACGATTGTCTCTTCTCTACATGTTCTTACGGCTGTATGTAGTAGACCATTAAATATACCCGTTATGCCCTTTATATCAACAAGAAGAGATCCTTCTGAATTTGAGCGAGTTCTAGCTAAGGAGAAGATCCCTAAAATACCTAAACAGCGTAAAAGGAAAGCAGTAAATTTGTTACTTCTATTATTGATATTATTCCTTGTTTTATTACCCCTATAGCTGCCTCAAAATCTAACTCTAATACGGTTATTATCTCCGGTACAATTATTCTCGTTTGATATACTGGTAATGGTTCCTGCTGTATCGAAAAGTGGTCGTGTACTCAAGCGAGTAAACGAGAGAGATAATAAATATGACTATTATTGATTTAAAGGCTCTGATTGGTCAAAAAATGGTATTTTATAATGTGATATGTCAGTATAAATAACAGAGAAATTCAACAGCAACCTTATTTATTGCCTTTCTATTTTACTGTTCGTTTACCTCGTCCGCTTGCTGATCACCAAGCGTCCTTCTCTCTTTCTGAATAACTTCATTACACGATCCGGCCTAGCTACGTCAGTAGTCAGGGCTAGGGGCTAATATATGAAGCCTGAGGTCCCCACCTGCGCGCTGCGCAGCGCCGGCAACGGCGGCAGACCAAGCCACATGGTCACGTGGGGGTGTGTCTGTAGCGCTTCCCATAAATAATACCCCTTTATCTTACAGAACAAGTATGCGCTAAATGATATCTAAAGCGATTAAAACAATTAATATATTAACATACTAACTTACTGACCCGCCCAATGAGCTATTGTTAAATATTATTAAGGTATAATAGGGCTTTATATACGGGATTTTAATTGTTACACAAATATTACTATATTATTTAGTTCGGATTCGACCAAATTTATCTTAGGTAATACCGCAGATTGTATTAGACATTTCTAAGAACTATATAACTGAAATAATTTATAGCTTCATTAAGGCTTTTTTGTTCATAAGGGATTTAATACCTTAGGATACTATACAGGTAATGTTTAACTACTTGGCTCCCTACCGATCGGACCGATCATCTCACTTTTTCCTACATCTTTCACTTCTCGCTCCCTACCGATCATCTGACTACTTTAATATAAAAAGTTTGCTTTTTTTTTCTCTCGCTCCTTGCCAATTATCTTATTAGTTTAATATAGAAAGTTTACTTTTCCTTACCTTTTCGCAATCGAAACGACAAGCTGCATAAAAATTAAATAAGCTTTTATATCACTTTTTTCTTAAAAATAATCTTTATCTAGAAATTAACCTTTCTATAACTGAAAATCCCCGTTGGCACCAAAATTAATTATTTTTATTTATACAAAAAATCCCCTTTTCTTAAAAAATGCGGTAAAACACTCTCTAAAATAAAATATTAATAAATTATATTATTTATTTTACTATTTTCTAAATCGCGTAATATTGTTAGTATTAATTGTTACTATAACGTTAAAAATAACAGCTATTTTAACTAATATTAGTTATTTCATTATATTTTAAATCGTATAGTATTATTAACATTAATTATTATTATATACTATTAAAAATAATTAATGTCAGGATCCCGGTGCGATGAAGATGAGAAAGATGCTTGAATTGCCCAAGATGCAGCGTAGCTGCGAGAGAGCTATCTACTGTGTGGATCAGGTGACACACTCAACCACATTAGGAAACAGGAGCGGTCCAACAAACAACATTAGCTATTTTAACTAACGTTAACTATTTTATTATTTTATGAAATTGCGTAATATTACTAATATTAAGTATTTTAACTGATATGAATCATTTTATTACTTTCTAGATTATATAATATCGCTAATATTAGAAATTACTATAATATTAACAATAATAAGTTTCAACTACAGGAATCTGTTTCAATAATTAAAAGAATCTATTACTATATTTGTATGATTAAAATAATAATTAGTTAAATATTTTAATTATATCGAATTATTGTATACTAACTACCGTACTTTCTCACCTGACGAACGTTTTCGGCCTCAGCAGTCATATAGAAATTGAAGCCATACAACCACATACAATTCAAATTATATAGAAATTTTTGAGCGGACGAAAATACACATTAAAATGAAGCTATACAGGCCTTTTTTTAAATCGTGAAAGCGCTGTGGGAGGCGGATCTGCCTGCCTCTACGATTTAGTGCAGGGGGGGCCTCATCAACGACCTCAGGGTCTATAGTAACTCTATCATCCGATTTCTTTGCCTTTGGAGTTGCCGGGACCTTATTCTTGCCTTTTTGGGCGAGATTGAAGTCATTTTGAATTTGTATATCGGCTTGCTTAGCGAGCTGATTATCCTGCTTTTTCTGCTTTTTTACCTCTGCCTCACGGAGCCGTATTTCACGATTTGAAGCACGGATTCGCTTGCGTTCTTGAATTAAAAGCCTCTTATCTTGTTTCTCTCGCTGCTTACGAAGCCTTTCCTCTTCTTTTGAAGCTTTAGCAAGCTGTACAGCCTCATCCTTTTCTGCTTGAAGATCACAAGCTTGCTGAATCTTATTAGGAGAGTAAAATACCGCGTAACCATCCTCAGGGGCTTGTAATTCGAATAAGAGAGGCTTCCCCCGCTTGCGCTTCTTCTTCTCTTGAAAAAGGGCCGCTTCGAGGCCTTGGCAGCGTAGCTTCAAGATAATATTCTCTGTAGAGAGAGCGTGCATCGTAGAATTCAACTTTTTAGCCTTTTGATCGTATAAATCAGTGACAGCGTACTTAAGAAGCCTCTCAATCTTTCTCCAATCCTCTGCACCTAGCGCTGAGCGAGATGATCCAGTAGATGAAGGTCGACTATTATCTTTTCGATTGAATCGCGATAGAACGATTTCAGGATTCAATGGCCAAACGCCTACCGTTTTCCATGAGGACTCGACATTTTGAGGTGATAAAGCGCTTTCCTATGAAGGCTAGAAGAGGTGAAAAAAAGTCTCTTTTCGTGATATGACAAAGACCTTGAGATTGATTAAGAAATCGCTCTAACTCCGTACTGTACGCTGTAGATAGAGGTCCAAAGATTCCGACGTCAAGCGGCTGCAGTGAATGCGTGAAATGAGGCAGATAGGTCATTAAGAGGATCTTATTCGCTTCACAGTATTCGAAAAACTTCATATTGATGTGATATCCGTGACTATCAAGGATGAGAAGTCTCTAACGCCTCCTCGACTTCTCTTTTGTCTCACGATCAAATACATCTCGTAGCCAGGCGTATCCTAGCTCGTCATTCGTCCATCCGGAAAGTGAAGATGCCAAAAAAACAAGTATGTAGGTCAGGATTGAAGTCCTGAAGCCACGTATCTTGAAGCTTCGAAGAGACAGCTTGATATATAAGCCCTGGAGATAGTGAGGCCCCGGCTGCGCAAGTGCAGGCGATTGTAGTAATCCATTCGCGATTCCCGTCTTGAAGCCGCTGCTTTAAGCCCTTTTCAAACGACTGCTTAGAGAAGATCCTCTTTGTCTTGCGAAGCACTCCGATCATAAAGCCTTTCTCATCCATATTGTAGATATCTTCCTGCCGAATATCATATTCTTGTATCTTGCGAGTCAAGAGTTCAAAATATAATGCATATTTCCACGCTGAATCGGCCCTTTTTCGAGATGAATCAATTCCAGTAGTATAGCAAGAAATAAGCTCCTCATTATGTCGCTTTATAAATCGGCCTGGCCACAGTTTTCCGGGTTGCTTTCCGCTTATTTCGCGAGCGAGATTTTGAAGCATTTCAGATGAGATATAAAGGCCTTTTTCGCTTAATCTATTGATATTCGAAATAAGCAATTTAGTTTGACGGTCATTAAGAAGTCGTTGGTCTTCATATTGCTCATCTTTTGAATGTTGGACGCCGCAAAATCGTCTTGTTAAAGTTGTTCGATTAACACCGTACTTTTTCGCTATAAAAGTAAAATTTGGTTGTTCTTCAGGCTTCAGCATTTTCAACTCAGCAATTGCTTCATCAATTGGGGCCATATTGGTAGAGATATGGCTCTTTGAAAATGTTGAAAAAGTCGGTCAAGCTCGAGTTTTCGGTCGTCAGGTGGAGCTGCTCGTCAGGTGATAAGGTACGGTATATTATTACTTTAAATTCCAGCATGGCCCTGCACGGGTGCCGAAATGGGGGATAATGGAATAAATCAATCAATCAATCATAATGCTTAATTTTTAACTTTCGGATGCGCTACGGCCCTTCTTTTAAACTATAAATAATATTTACTTTATGATTTATACTCGATAATTTACTTTTTGCCAAAATGATTCCTAAATCCTATGTATACTGTTAAGCAGTAATTGATTACATAAATATTTATTTTTAAGCGAAACCCCCGGTTAAAGTATATTATAAAATTTAAGTTATTATTAATAATTTAATTAGTTATTTATATAAAAGTCTATTTTGGAATAATAGAAGTTGAAAGTAATAAAAAATATTTTTATTAAAGATACCCTGTCTACGTTTATTGTAAAGGTAATAAATATTAACTGGCCTAGTATTGATCTTAAATCCGATATTAATTTAGATTTATTATTTTCGGTAACACCCGGCACTTATAAAGTCAAAAAATGGACCAAAGGAGTCTCGAGTAATATATTATTCTTAAATGAGTATATAAAAACCGATAACTTTTTTCTAGAATAAATATTTACTTACTGACCTTAAGAAACGTCGGTACGTATTGACGAACGTAAATTTTATGGAACTTAGCTTGTTTTAAGCGAAACTCCTATTTAAGTCTATTATCTGCGAGTCATTTGATAGAATTACGTGATTTAAAATACCGGAAACTTTTTGGCGAAAGGTATTTGATATTATTTTTCTTTAAATAGCGATATAAGGTCTCTCGAACGCTAATTCTATATAAAATGATAAATTAAATATTTAAATTAAACCGAAAAAAAAAAGTAAGGTAGTTTATAATTAGCGTTTTCAAAAAATCAATTAGTAATGATAATTTATTAAAATAATAAATATAATAATTTAATATAAGATAAACTAACGTAATATTTAAAGTTATATTAAAGGTATTACGAAAGATATATATTCTAATTATTTTATTTTCAAATATAGCTTTATATTTTATACTGTAATATATTTAACGGTAGTCCATAATTTCATAAACAAGTTATTACGAGTGAATTTGATCGATATTAATATTCACAAATATGATTGATTTTTAAAGGTCCTTTGTATTAATTAGTATAAATGTTTACGATCAAAAAAATAAAGTATAAAAAAAATATACGAGCGTAATCCAAATATTTATTATTATTATTACACCGCTGGGCCGCTGGCCATCCGGTCTATCTCGGTATCTAGGGGAGGAAACTTTGAAAGAGAGCTTTAATAGCTACTACAATCTGGACAACCCCCCACCGCCTCGTTGCTGCATCACTCGATCTAAGTACATGTCCCTGGTACCTGGTTGTCTCACTGGTAGTGTTTTTGTAGGCATATACTCCTAACTAACCGTAGATACGTAAAGCTCGGCGGTATTTCTTTTTGTTGCATGTCTTGTTCTGTAGTCTCGTGTTGCCCCCCTACTAGAGATAAGTGAAAGGTAGGCTCCCGGCTGGTAAGGAATACATCTAGTCAAACACCTTTAAACATCTCCGGTAGTTTGGTATGGTGAGCTGATGGCCGGATCCTACAGCCTTTCATAAGGTCGCCAACCGAATGGGATAATCACGGGCGCGAACCCGTACCTTTTCCCACGGCTATCCGGCCTAATATTTAATATATAATTTTGTAAAATAACTTTGTAAGCTTTATTATTAATAATTTAAGTAAAGAGTTGCAGATTAAAGATTTTTATAATGAATGTTTGATTTTGATGGTTATAGGTAGAATTCTATTTTTAACGTTTACATATATATTTAGTTATGGATTTGATAGGTGGGATAAAATCAGTGATAAATATTAGTATATTAAATATAAATTTTATAAAAATTAATAATTTTATTAAGAATTCGTAAAACATTTTTAGTATAGCGAACAAATTAATCAATTATTTCTATTGTAAAAAATATAATACAAGTCTTTTGGGACCGCGCATACGCGCGGCCTTTTGTACATGATCAACCAGATGACCTTGCTATGAAAACAAAATCGTCTGTTCAGTCAGTTATTATTATTAAAACATAGAAAGAATGAATAAAAGTAATACAATATCTTTTTTACTATATAATAAACCTATAGATATATTCTGAGCAATTACTAACTCAATAAAAAATTATAAATCTAAAAAGACATTATCTAATTTAGTTTTTTAGTACAATCTAAAAGTAAACTTTATACAATAAATATTATATCTCATAAATATTATCCAAGAGAATTAGACTTAACGCTATTCGACCACGGGAAAGAGCTTTTTTATTTAAGAGTTATAATTAATACAACTTATTCGGAATATCTATATTTTGTTTTTTTTATATTACTTATTATCGGAGAAACTTAATTTAACAGAACACTTATCTAACAAATTACTCTAAGCAAATATCCGCAACACAGATATAGGGAAAGAAAGAGACTTTCAGGTCGCCTCTTGCCTAGATTTAGGATAGAATAGCAGTAAAGATAAGACGGTTTTATTATTTAACAATCCTGGTCAGTACCGAATAATATAAAATTATACAGTTTCATATTGCAAACTGGAATATTATCCGTATGACTAAACTGTAAAATATATTACTGTAAAAGAAGTATTATTTCAGGACCAAGATTAAAATAGAGAGTTCAATGTTATTTTCTATAATCTTTAGTTTAATTTTTTTTAAAAGTATTTATACCTCAAGACAATATAGTACGCAATATCTTTAAATAAGATATACCCCTAATAAGCGTATATAGAATATAACAATTAAATTAAAAACAGAATCCAATTTGACACAAAAAACTTTTTAATCCAAATCTTACTTTAGGTATATTAATTTTATTGTAGCGAAAGATTCCGGGCAATATAATAATAAAAACATAAAAGATACTGTTTTTGGCTAACTTAATTCTATAAAAATAATTTTATTAATAAATAATTCTTGAACTTTTATACTAGTATAATATTCAATAACAGTTTTTATTATTATTAAGCTCGGATTGTAGGGACTGGAGGGTGGATTTATAGTAAATATTGTTGTTAATATTATTAAATATGTTAAAAAGAATATAGGTTAGTAATAGGGGTATTTTAAGTTAAATTATTACTTTATAGAGTAATTATATCGGTTTATAAATATAGAATAGGAATCATTTATCCTTTTTTAACAATAAAAATTCCATTTATATAAATATATTTAGGCCTATTATAAGATGTAATAAGATTACAGATAACTTTTATTTCCATGCTCGCGGGGTATTAACTGATTTATATCAAGGTATTAAAGTTATAAAGTATGTGGGATTATCTGATATAATTAAAAAAAAGTAAAAAATTGAATAAAAGAAAGTTATATAAGGGAAAATATATGAATATTTAAGTTATAAAAGTCGGATAAAATTAAAAACGAAAAAAGATTGAAATTAATAAATTAGAGTTCATCTTTAATTGCGTATATAGAGAAGGATCAAATTATATTAATGGTAATTTATATATAGTTATTAATACGGGGAAAAGGTAAAAATATACTTTAATTATTGTATGAATTAGATATAATAGAATTCGATTATTGTAGGATTTAGTAGGGTAAAATTTTAATATTAATAAGACTTGATTAATAATTGCGCTAAATTTAATCTAATGTTAGAGTTATTAAATAAATTGTATAATAAAAGGCTAATTTAATAAAATGTAAATACGGGTAAAATAATGTACAATAAAAGTTTAAATTTAGAATAAAATATAAAACCTATATAATACTCTAAAATATAAAATATTCTTGATTAACTTTTCCTA